AATTCTAGTTGATGAACATGTAAGGCAAGATTGGAATTAATCAACAGAACTTTATAACAAAATTTTGCATTAAATTCAGTTACTGCTTTTCAATCTAAAGCCATAAACAAATGTACAATATGCTTCATATTGTTCGCAAAACATTTGAATAAAAAAAACATGTAAGCTATTAATCACAAGGAGAAAGGATGGAACTGAAAAGAAGAAAATTAAAACTCAAAAAAATGTAAATCAATTGGTACCAAAAGTTGAGCACTTTCTGTCTCAAGTTCATCGAGCGCATTTTCCCACTCCAGCTTATATATCTTCATCTCTTCAGCAACCGCAACTTCCAACTGAATCAGCCAAAAATTAAAACATGACCAGAAGGTCTACATCAGCTTTTGTGAAAATCATCATCGGTGCAGAGACAAGTTGAACAGAATATTAAACAGATAAATATAAATGATCATACATCATCAACAGTGAGTTCTTGAGCCAGCTCTGCCCTAACATCGGCCTCCACTTTTGCCAGTGACTCTTGTTCTAGAGCCTCTTGTGCCTCTGCAGCCTAAAGAAAATGCCCCGGGAACACCAAAGTTGTTACAATAAGCCGAAGAATCAAATTCAGCTATTGTCAGAAGTGCCAATTTTTTTAGGTGGGGGCTAAATAAGCAGCGGCTATTGTATACCTTACTTTCAACTTCAAGAAGTTCAGCAATGAGCTCTTCAATTTCTTCTTCTGTCAAAGGCTCCTACAGTTTACACAAAAAAGCCAGCATAGCAACAGCAATTCAGATTTACAATTTAAAAAAATTAAGAAATTGAGTGTAAACAGTTGCACTCGGAATGTAGATGCAATATTGCAGCGGTGCGATACCTCGGGAAGCAATTCTGCTTCTTCTGCGGCTAATTCATTATCGTCTTCGATGAAGGAATCATCGGTTTCTGACGAAGCCTCTTCGATGTCTTCATCTTCCTGTTCTTCTTGCTGAACATCCTCCTCTTTCTCTTCTCCATCTTCGGCCATTTCGGATTCAGGGTTTTCAAATTCTACTAGCGGAAACGGATGTTTTGCGTGGGAATCTTGGGAATATGAAGTTGAAGGGGTTTGTTTGGGAATTGATGGGGAGAAGAGGATGAAATGCAGTACTGAAAATTGAAATCTGGGCTATTGATTTTTTTTTTATAATTCAGGTTATTGATTTATTATTTTTTAACTTATTTTTTCTATTTATTATTTATTCTTATTAAATTTAGATTAAATATATTTAGATTCAATCAAATCAAATTCAATTATATCAGATCTAATCAGAATTGTTACTATTATTATTATCATTATTATTAATATTATTACTATTCATATTATTAGCACTATTACTATTATTATTACTATTACTATTATTATTACTATAATTAGTATTATTATCTTTACTATTCTAATTGCTACTATAATTAGCATTACTATTATTATTATCATCACTATTATATTATTATTATTTTTAGTATTATTATGATTGTAATTATGATTATCATCACTATTATTATTGTTACTATTATAATTAATACTAGGGGTGTACACCGGTCCAGAACCGGACCGGACCGGAACCGGAAATCCGGAATCCCCTAAAGCATAGGACCGGAAACCGGACCGGTAAGATTCCGGTCCGGACCGGTCCGGACCGATTTTTTCCGGTCCGGTCCGGGTAAAAACCGGAAAACCCGGAATTTATTTTTTCAATTATTTTTATCTATTTTTAAAACTTGTTTTCAAATTTGTAGCTTGATTTGAATTGATTTCAACCCTACATTTAATTTTTATATAAATTAGTTGTGTTTCAAGAAATTATATTAATATAAAATATTTTTATCAACAATATAATAAGTGTAAAATGATTTTTATACTTCCTTTAGTTTTGAAATTTCAAAAATATTAAAAAGTTTTACTTTAAATTACTTTGGTTTTAGCAAGTCTAATTTATACGTCAAAGTATTTAATACTTTAAATCGAAAGATTCTACTTTAATTTTTGGGAAATGATTTTAGTTTTTTATAATTATGGATATTCTTGGATAAAGGTCAATGAAATGAATTAAAAGATACAAATTACATTTAAAAAATTATGCTTCATATTAAAAAGTGAGGAGAACAAATGAAAATATACAATCGTATTTATAATTATACGTAAACTCCGTATCATAAGTATTAATTTTTTTAAAAAAATAGACAATCCGGTCTTACCGGTCCGACCCGGAAACGATCCGGTCTTGGACCGGAATTTTACCGGTCCAAAATCTTTAGATCGGAGACCGGTCCGGATTTTTATCAGTCTAGCCCGGAACCGATTTTCCCGGTCCGGTCCGATCCGGTTTTCCGGTCCAACCCGGATTTTGTACACCCCTAATTAATACTATTATTATTACTATTTTTATTATTATTACAATTATTGTTATTATTATTATTACTATTATTATTATTAATACTATTACTATTATTATTATTATTATCATTATTATTATTATTGCTATAGTTGACTTCTTTTGACAATAACAATTGTTGTCATATTATGACAACAAGACCTGCGCTATTCTCCTCAAAAAAATTGATAATTTTTACCCCCTAACTCCTTCCCCTAAACCCGAACCCACCCCCCTAGAAGTTGATTGGATTCAATAACACTATAGTCAATCGGTGTTTTGGGTGGGGGCAGGGAGTTTTGTCATAATGTGACACTCATTTTTGTCGTCAAAAGAAATGGGCCGTTATTATTATTGTTATTATTATGATTATTATTACTATTACCATTATTATTACTATCACTATTGTTACTAGTATTATTATTACTGTTATTGTTAAAGAAATGTCTCTAGAGAGGAGTAAAAAAATTGAAAATACCAAAATAAGAGTTTAATGGCAGTGTAGTGTTAGAATATGCATTGGTAGTGTGATAAAAAAGTGATGACAGTGTAATATGTCAATGAAATCAGTCTACCGTCGGCATCTATAGCGGCACTCCAGTGGCCGGCGGCGACAGATGGCATTGTGTCATTGATAGTGTGACAGTTAAAACTTAAAATGTAACAATGTGGTGAGTATGACAGTGTAACTATGACAGTTATTTTGGTCTTAAAATACTTATGACTCCTATTTTCATATTTTCGTAGTGTTTTTACTCATATCAATGGAGTTCTCCATTATTATCAATATTATGATTATTTATTAATTATTTTTGTTTCATAAATTTAATAATTATGGAATAAAAATTTTGGGTTGTATTAAAATATAAATTATCATTATAATGTTTAAAAGTTATTATATAATGGTAATAATTTTAATCAAAATTTGATTATATCTTATCCAAATAGATTAGATCAGCCCAGATTAGATTCAGTCAGATCATATTCAATTCAATCACGTCAGATCAGATCAAAAATTCAAAAAATCATATGAGATCAGATCTGGCGGACCAGAACGTAAATTAATACAGAGTACTTTGTATGGGAGTTCTCGATAATTGTTGTTAGTTTAACTTTTTGAGCGTTCAAATTTTAACTTATACGGAGTAGTAATTGAATAAAACTCTACCATATCGTGAGTATTAACTACGTAGTAGTACGGAGTATCAATTACAGAGTAAATTATATTGGGATCATTATTGAAAAGTACAAATCAATTCAACAATCAATTATTTAACAGTATGGGAAATGTTGACTATTTTTTCCGCTCATGACTTTGCATAATAAATGAAAGAGTAGATTTCATAAGAGGTCCCCAATTATAAGTCGTTTTACATATTTAGTCTCTACATATCAAATATTATTAATTTAGTCCCCAATTATTATAATCATTTCCACAAATGGTCATTTGTCAATATTTCCGTTAAGAACGTGGATAAAATTGTAAATTCACACTCCTTTCTCTCCTCAATTAAGCTTCCTCCCTCCCTTCGCTCTCCTTTCACAAACCCGGTGCTGAGTTTGAAGCTTTGAATCCAAAACCAAAATTATCACTCTTTTCTCAATTGTTTGTCTGACTAGGGGAACCCAAATTCGAAACCAATAACCTTCATGGATGAGTTTTAATATTTATTTTTTTTGCAATTTTTTGAGATTAACCGATAAAACTCATTCATAAAGCTTATTGGTTTTGATTTTATGTTCCACCAGTAAGACTAATAATTAAGAGAGGGATGATCATTTCAGTTTTGGGTTTAGAGCTTTAAACTCAGCGACGAGTTTGGGAAAGAGTACGAGAGGAGAGAAGAAACTTAATTGAGGAGAGAGAGAAGATATACAATTTTATCCACGTTCTTAACAAAATTGTTAACAAATGGCCATTCGTGAACGGTAACATGATTTACTCACCACACTGATTTTGAACGCCTCTGAGATTAAAAAAGGTAATTCTACCATAAATTGTATTCCTTATACACATAAATGGTAACAGGATTTACTCAGACGAGAGAGTCACACGTGCAGGCCATATTCAGCGGTCAACTGTCGATGAAAAAAAGAGAGAAGAGGCCGGCAACGAGGCTCGGTCGAGATGAGGAGATTAGGTGTTTGATAATATTTGCTACGATACCATGATATAATTTGATAAAATATTAATCTCATTGAATAATGAACTCCAAGGAGTATTTATAGTACACTGTGTAGAATGCTAAATAAGGTAGGAAAATAAATACAATATGGCAATAATAAGGAAATAAATAATATTATAATTCTATTCCTATCACACATTACTATAACAAAGAACGACCAAAATGGCCAAAGAATCGACCTTCAGAATGTTTTGTTTTACGCGTATAGAAACCCCCTTCATTTCATACATCGCTCCATGCAATGAGTCTCTTCCGAGCTAGCTATTCAAGTTCCATATATTCTACGGAATATAGAAGGCAATCTTGGAGTGCCTTCTACTTAGTGAGTACCAATACAATACATCTGAATGTATGATATTTCACGTACATCCACTTAAATACTCGTTTTCAAATAATCAATACTCACTTGAATATCAAGTAATTGAACACTCATTTTTTGAGTAACTGAATACTTATTTACGAGTATAACTGAAATTTAGAAAACTGGGTATCTAGTAATTCAAAAATGAGTATGCAATTGTTCCAAAATGAGTATTTAGTAGCTCCAAAATGATTGCTTCATATTTAATTATTCTTAATATTACTCCCTAATGCATGTCTTGTTATATGTATGTTCCCATGGGCAAGACCTATTGGAGATGCAAGAGAAAGACGAATTTGCTAGAAGTTAAACCTTGTATGTGAGAGGAATTGTTTTTTTTTTCTTTTTTGCTATCGAAAAACAAATTTGGGCGTGCACATAATAATTAGGGAGCATAAGAATAAAGAAAAAAGAAGAGGTCAATTGCAATTCGGGCCTCTACCCGGCCCGCCGTAATAGAAATGGGTTCCCCATTCGTCGCTAAAGGAGCTCTTGATATCGTAGCAATCGGTGTTCTCCGCGAGGGTGGATATGACCCGAACCGAACTCAAGCTGTTATCCGAATCCACGACCTCCAGGTTCCGGAAATAGCTCGCCCTTCGGAACCCTTCTTCCGCGAACAGGCCCGAGCCCATCTGGGTGGACGTGTGCTCGCCCGTGACCCGAGAGTTGACCACCTCCCCGCCCCACTCGACCATGGTCGCCCGGTCCGCCAAGTGCGTGAACAGCTCCGCCGGCCAGTACCCGACCAGGGTGTTGTCCCCGAACCCCATCCACCAATTCCCCAGCTTCGGATCCTGCAAAACCCGACCGAACGAATTGAGTATATATCTGGGCACCCGCGCGAAAGCAGGAAATTGAGAAAGGACGGACTTTCCAGATGAGGATGGTGATGTCATATTGGCTGGAATCGACGGCGGAGATGGGAGAGATGGAGGCGCCGATGGCGATCCGGCTGTTTGTCTGCACAAATCCGGCGCATAGGAGGTTGTAACATCCTGTTGCTTGGTATGCATCACTCTGTTATTACAAGTCAATTAATTAGTTAAAAAAGCTAGGATGAACAAAGACCAAATAAGACTAAAACATTGAAAATATACTAAAAAAAATTTTCCTCCGTCCCGGAGTATTCGTCCAATTTTGGCTTTTGGAATTGTTCATCTAAGCACTTTGACTAATCAAATTCTCTCAATGTGTAAGCCTAAATATAGTCATGTGTGATCTTGTTTGATTTGTCTTAACATATAGATTATTAATATATAATTTCTATAATTTTTTAATATACAAATTACAAGATAAAATGGATTAAAGAAGTGTATGAGATGGTGTGTAAAAATGAAAGTGGACAAATACTCTGAGACGGATTATGTTTTTTTATTTTCCGAAATATGACTTAAAATGCATTTACATTACCAAACATGGTCATGTACATTACCAAAAAGTATAATAATATGCACATGTAGAGTTCCACATTATAACTACATTACTACACTGTGAAGTCTTATTTCAGAAAAAACATGAAAGTCATATTTGGATACTTTTTTCTACCCGAGTATGTTTTAGTCTTCTTTAGGGTGATTTCTAATCAATAAACCCTTTTTTTCTCATTTTTTTCGTTTTCTCAAAATACATTCATTTTTTATTAAAAAACTCTTTTAATCTCTACCTTTTCATATCCTACATATCGTTTCATACTTTTTCATTAATAATCTAACTATAACTTACTTTAGCCATCATATCAAAGGTAAAATTAAAAAATTAACTAAAAATATACTCCGTACTTTCTTTATTTTGGCTAAAAATCAAAAGGAGAATGATTTATTGAAACGGAAAGTAATAATTCTTCATGCCTTTATTTTGGCCAACAACTATTTGTCTTATAAAGATTATTACTCGGGTACAATTTATTTTTTGGTCATAAATTAAATACTCCGTATACTTTTAAATAATTAAATGTTATGGAGTATAAAAATACTCTGGCATAATATGTCAAAACTATATTTTAAAATAAAATCAATTTTACTAAATTAGCATCATAACCAAATTTTTTTAAATTAACATTACAACTAAATATTTTTTTTACAATTTATGATTAAAGTATAACACAATTCAAGAAAAAAGTCAAATCGATGAACTTTGTGGATGGAGGGAGTAGGAAGTAGGAAGTGAAATACGCCGTAAGATAGAAATCTGACCGTCCAATAGGTGAATAATCTGGGTCTGCTATCACCATACAGCTCCGGACTGACCTGACTAGTAGAACAATCAAAGATTAGGAATTTTATTTCTTTGTTTTTCTTTCATTTTTCAGTCTAAAATAAGAATGGGATGTGCTAGGGGTACACCAAAGATGTACCCCAAATGTACACCACTTGCCTCTACACCATTCATTTTATTTTCTTTTTATTTTTTACTTTTTATTTTGAAATTTTCTTGCCTTTTTTGTGTGGTGATGGAGGGGGTGGGGATGTTTGGGGTACACTTGGGTGTACCCCTAGTATTTTCCAAAATAAGAATACTCAATGAAACACTAGACTCCAGCAAAAAATTGTTAAATTTAAGAGCCATGCTAGGGGTACACCAAAGGTGTACCCCAATTCTACACCACATGCTTCTCCACCACACATCCTTATTTGATTTTTATTTACTTTTTTTTTGTGTTTTGCCAATTATTGTGGACAAGGAGGGGTGGGGAATATATGATGTACCCCTAGCACTTTTCTAAATTTAACCAAGAAGAATGGGCGGGAAGGAGTACCTGCCAGCCAGCTTCAATGCTGTTGAGGTCCGAGCCGTCGAAAGAACCGGAGAGGACCCATATCTGGGAGAGGCTAAACTCGTTGACCGTCTCTATCGATGGGTCCCACACGTTTATCGTCGCCTTCGCTCCATATATATCCTCTGAGGCGCCGGTGTACGCGATTGCATGCTACATCGTAACCATTTTTTCATAAAATTTGACTCTAAAGTCAAAATCAACTTGTGGGGTGCAATTGAATGGGGTGGGGAGGTGTGTTCGGGTCTGGGCCGGGTGGAGGGTTTACCAGGGGTAAGGGGGGTAGGAACCGTCAATTTTATGAACGGGGCACTGGAATGCCCCAGGTCATCCCATGACATTGAGGTCCAATGTCACTTGAACCTTAGTGATTCTGTTTTGATGGTCTATCTTGACTAAAATTATGCACTCACCTCATGACCGTTGCCGCTAACGACGTCCGGGGCATCGGCACGCCGGGCAAGCGGAGCGTATCGCCGCCGCTGTTTCTTCCCGAAATCGTAAAGAGATTTGGCCCTCAACACGTCGTCCACCGTGCTCCGCCGTATCGGCACCGTCCCTTTGGGACAACGTAGCCCTCTCTGGTGCCACAGCTGCTGCACGGCACCCATGCTGCTGTGGTTGCCAGTGGCGGCGCTGGTCACCCTCACCCTATCCCCACCACCGGCTGCTTCCTCCAAGTGTTGTTGTTCCATCATCTTAGGCATTTCCGGCGCAACCCTCTGCACTCATATATAATCATCATATCATTCCAAGATCAGTCTTTATTATAATTGTATCATTGAGTATTATTAGGAAAATTTTGAAATATGGCAAAATTTTCAAATTAACTACTGTATTTTTTTTTTATAAAAAAATTTTAAATTAAAGGTTTACCCATATAAATTAAAGGTTTACCTATTAGTTTTGACATTGACACACTTTGTTAACGGTACGTCTTCGTCCAAGTGTATTCGTCCAGTTTGACTTTTTCGAGTCAGACACGATGAACTTTGGACCTCAATTAAATAAAAAGAGTAATGTGTATTAGTATAAGAATTATTTCATTAGACTTGTCTTGTTAAGAACTTTTAAAATTTTATTTTATTGTATAAATACGCAATACTAATTAAGAGTAATTGATGATTAAAGTTTATCCAGTTTGACTTGAAAAAGTCAAATTAGACGAATATACTGTGACGACGAGAGTAGTATAGTTGGATTTATTTGTGTATAACACTGGATCCAATCCATATTGATTACAGTAGCTTGTAGCTTAATTTAAGGAAGCCATTGATCACTGGGCTGTGCACTTATGCGGAGTAATAATAAAAGAAGGGAAAAAATTGAAAGGCAGGTAGTTGGTAGTTGAAAATAATAATAACAGTTATTAATATTGATCATCATCACCATCATCTTTCCCTCATATATATATCTTTCTTATTTAATTCTTCTAGAGAGATGCATGATTAATACCCTATCTATTACTCCCTCTATTTTCGAAAATACATCATGTTTTATTTTTTTCTTTCACTAAAATGCTTCTACTTTTTACTTAAAAAATACTTTTACACTATCGATTCTTACTTTACATCATACTTTTTCACTAATCTACTCATCACATTTTATTTTTACCCACTACATTAAGGGTAAAGTTGGAAAATTAACTACAAATATACATATCTTATTTATTTCACCATTAGTCAAAACAGGAATCATTTTATAAATTTCTTAATGATTATTAATGAGCATTACTATACCTTAACTTATTAGCTTCATTTAAATGTAAGGCATGCATTATGTAGTATATATGTTACCTGGATCTTGTGGTTCTTGAGAAGAGGATGATCAAGAGCTGGCTGTTTCCTTTTATGAACACAATCTATAATATCTCCATCTGGGCTCTAAAACACAAAACCACACATGCAATAATGTGTATACATGTATTAAAAAAATTAATTAATGTAACCTCCAATCATTTTTAGGTATAACAAACATAATTAAAATTACTCCGTATTTAATAATAATGTGTTTCAAAACCAAGCAACACTGTTTTGATGGGATGATAATCTACCCCGATTGAGCTCGGTCCTGGCCACCTTAGAAGACTTGAATCCGAGTCAAAATTATAGAAACCCGAATGTTTTTACTAGACACGCACTAGCAAATAGCTAACTCATCACATAAAAGGGGGGGGGGGTTCAATTTGGGTCGTGTTCGAAATTACGAATAGAATGTCATTCACACACACACACACACACGAAATATAGATGTGGGGAATAAATTACTAATTGGAGTAATAAACATGATTTAGTGAATAGAGTGTACATGTTAATAATTACCTGGATGGTAAGAAGAGGGGATTTGTTAATGGTGTTAAGATGGTTGTGAATCCTAGCAAGCCTGAAGCTGCTCACATATCTTTGTCTGCTGCTTCTCCTTCTTGCAGTTGTTGTTTGGTTTGCTTCCAATTCGTGATCACTCCTTTGGCACAACACAGTCGATGATGAAACACAAAACCACACTACAATATAAACACGGAGAAGAAGAAGAAAACCCCAAGAAGAAGAAGAAGAAGAAGAAGTTCTTTTCCAATTCCAAACAGTGCCCATTTCATTCTGTGCCATTGCAATGACGTACAGGTGGCCCGGAAGAAATAATAATGAAGGTACACTTTTTTTTCCTATGTTCTTTAAATATTTTGTGAAGTGATGAACTGAACCAGAATGAACCACCTGCCTGCAGAGAGATATTAATAAAAAGGGGGTTGGAAAAGGGGAAAGAAAAGAAAAAAGAACAGTTCTGCAGACTAAAGAAGAAGAAGAAGAAGAAGAAGAAGTATATATATACTCCGTATATATCTGGATTCAGCAAGCCATAATAAGTTTGTTATCTGGTGCCATATATACTTACATATATGCACTGAATTTATATATATATATATATATATATATATATATATATATATATATATATATCAAAATCAGTAAATAATGAACGAGTTAATTAATTTTACATGGCTGTTGCTGACTAATATAAAAGCAAATTTATAAAGGTTGAAGAAAAAGAAAAAAAAGAAAATTGAATTGAAGGTAGTTGTGTGAGAGTGAAAGGCTGGCTGGGGATACATGAATTAATTATACAATGCGTAGAAAGAGAGGTAACTATTACTTCTACATTAAGTACTGTGACTGTGTGTAAATCTCTCAGAGAAAGAGAGAGGGGTGAGATGGATTGGGAGGAAAGATATGAATATACGGAGTGCTATCATCTGTACCATACACAACTTCTCAACAAGAAATTAAAAAGCAATTGAATTGAGAGGGCCGGGGGAGCCAATGGCTTCTTTTAATTTATGGCCAATTGAATATTTTCATCTGCCTCTCTGTCAAATCTTCTCCCCCATTAATATACTCCATCTTCCCCTCCCCTCTTTTGAGTGATTCTATGCTACATATAAAGAAGCTCCCTTTTTTTAATTCTAAAAATGTTTATTTCAATTCTTGAAAATGCTTTTTTAACATATATGAAGGCTCATCATGGACCTTAGATGTTTGACCCCCTTTTTTCTCATTCTCCTCCAACCCCATCCCTCTATCCCTTGTATATATATTAGCTCACATTATATTACCTACATATATTCCCCCCCTGAAAAAATGTTCTTACTATCTATTACTATTAGCAATCTTGAATGTTTATTTCAAATGTTGTTAATATTTTTTATTTATCTACGAAAAACTAAAAGTTGAATAAAAGTATAATTACACATTATAAAATTTGAACCAAATTTTCAAATTATGTTTATTATAGAGTATTTAAAAAGAAATATATATATATTATTGTTATAATACATTAGTAAATATGTTCGGTTCAAGATTTTTGGTATGAGAAGTTAGTTCGTACCATTTCCAAATGTTGTACCCACCATTTGGTTCGGTAGTACTATTTCGTTTTGGTACTGTTCAGTACTCTTGATTTTTTGGTAATTTTTGAAATTAGTTCCAGACTTACTCACCCTACCAAGGCTTACACAAAGACATTTAATATCTATGTGTGTACAAATATTAAGGGGCTGTTTGTTTCAACCTCTTAATGGTTCAGATGTCTGAATGGTTCAGCACTTAATGGTTCAGAGTGTTTGTTTCAGCCTCTAAATGGTTCAGATGTCTGAATGGTTCAGACATTTGCCTCTGAATGGTTAAGTATTATACAAAGTCTGAATGATTAAGACCTCTTATCTGAATTGATCAGACATTTGCCTCTGAATAGTTAAGCAATATACTAGCTCTTAATAGTTCAGACCTCTTACTGGTTCAACACTTAATGGTTCAGACCTCTTACTGATTCAACACTTACCTATTCAGAAGTTGTCAAACAGCCTCTAAGTGTCTTTGTCTGTATAAGTTTTCGTGTACATTTGGTGCCAGTACTTTGTGTCGCCCTAGAACCACTTGAATGTTAATACTACTATACCTCCATCTCTTATTATTGTGTCTAAGCTAGTTTTTTTTGAGTCAAAACAATGATACTCAAAAAACTATTTCCTCCATCCTTAAAATATTTCGTATTTTGTGTATAAAGATTTAATGGAGGATGTTTTTCTTTTGACTTGTCCAAATTATCATTAGATCTGATAGACAAAAGTATAATACAATGGATATATTAGTTGTAGAATTTGATAGGTAGACTACTATAAAAATAAGCTTTTGCATCGATTGTTTTAGACCTTTTGAATCAGTTCCTAACTGATGCAAATGATAGCGGTGCAATTGGTGCAAATTATTTTTGCACTAATTGTTTAACCGATGCAAAAAGTACTCCATCAGTACCTAATTCGCGCTTCGAAAGAGGCTTTCGAATCGGAAGTTAATTAATTACTTAGGTAGGCATCAACATTTTTTTGAGTAGCTTCTAGTCCACAGTTCACAGCCATTAGGTAGGCATCAAGATTTAACCGAGCTTGAACGCAATATATGCAAACAGATTTTTAACTAGTGCTACGATCTAACTTTCAAAGCAACAACAACTTTCTATGTACCAAACATTCAAATTAGATTGATAAATACAATAAAACGTTCAAATGAGTAAATTAGTTGATGTTATAGTCATCCACTCTCTAACGTAACTTTTTTCAGTTTTCCTTTTTAATTGTCTTAAAATCTTATTTACATTTTGTTTTTAAAATAAATTGTGTATAATTACTCCCTCCGTCCCCCATAGATCTTCCCAATAGCCCTTTTTCTTTGTTCACAATAGATCTTCTCATTTCATTTTTTAACAATTAAAATACCACAACTACCCCCACTTACTTTATTTATTACACATCACTCACCTCATTTAATACACTCCACCCATTTTCATTAAGGGTATTATGGTAAACTTTCCCCTTTTTTCAACTCTCCTTAAAAACCCTCAAAAGTCAAAATGAGAACATCTTAGGGGGACGGATGGAGTACTTTTTTTATGACTTTTGTTAAATATGTTTGAAATTTGGCAAAAATAGACATCTAATTATAAGCAGTCTCCTTTGGGCTTAATTATCAAAGATGTTGACAACACTTTTGACCATTAATTAGAGAACATGTATTTTTCCTAGCGAAGCGAACACTTTAATATATTATACACAAAAATGATCAATAGGTAAATAAGAAATTAGTTCTCAAATTTAATCCATTGGACTAAAAAAATGGTTGGGTTTATGTTGAATTTTGTTCTGTACAGAAAACTTTATAAATGCACTCCGATGGATATTGGGCCATACGGCAAAAAAATAAATACCCGGCCCAATCTATCAGTTGTAACTAAATAAATGCTTAATACCCAAAATAATGGGAAGTAAGTGAATTAACAAAACTGATGGGGAGAAAAATGGGCCTTAGCAGGCACCAGCCACCGAAATAGTAAGTCCACAATTTGAAGGCTAAGGTGGACCAACCTGAAAATAAACTATGGCAACTAAGGTGACGTTCTTTTCACCACATCTGAATGGTTCTGATATGATTAGAATACGTTATAAACTGATTTGATCTAACTTTAGTTATATTTAAAGATGTTTCAGATCTGATGTAAACTGATTACAATAAGAAAAAGTAATAAAAATAAATTGAAGAGAACGACCTAAGTGGAATTATAGTCCCACAATTTTTGTCATTTAACAAATGTGGGAAACCAAACAGTACATAACCAAGATGTGTAAATACCCCTTCTCTCATGAAGGGGTACGTGAATATAAGCCCATCGAAACAATACCAAGCTCTTAAAGCAATGCAAAAAATATTGAGAGATATATTAATACAAAGTATTATTCCTATTAGTTACTTTCACCAATCTTCATAAAAGAAGATTGAAAATGAAAATAGAGGATTTTTGATCTATATAAAAAATTCTAAACATCTCTTCGTCTCATTGTTTACATTTGATTTAACACTTTGGATATTTGCGTTTGTCAATGTAGGACATCAGGCCATACTAATTCTTCTAAAACCTATGTAGGACATACAAGCGTTCACGACATTGGATTGGGACTTGACCCACATAGCCTTCGTCGCGGGATAATTGATGCATACATGACCAACAAACAATATATATTCCAACCTATTGTAATTTGTCCACCAACTTTGTGAACCACCTTTCCACCCATCACATACAATAGGAAACATAGGAAAGCAATTTAATAAAGACATACCTCGTTTAATCACATATAGATTCGTCCAAAGGATAATTTAACACAAGTTTGTTCATGAAATAAGAACTATTTAATTCATACAAAATAAAACTCTCGATAACTAATAATGGCAAAGGTTTATTTTCTCATTATAATTATCTTATTAATCAGTTATATATGCCTTTCTTGGTGGAGTCCAAATCCATGATAGTGCTGAGGTTCATAGGATGCATGTAGTCATTGGAGCCCTTTAACATCTGGTCAACAATGATTCTGTTGGCCTTTTCCGATGGGTGGAATGCGTCCCAAAATACATACTCGTTTCGGTTTGGGCACAAATTGGACAGTGGCGTGCACAACCCAAGCCCATTGAATCGCCCTTGTCCACAACATGCCACCTTTGATGTCTTGAATCCTGTCCATCCATTTATATTTATTATCCATAAAATCAATAATGGTCTCAAAAAATATATGGAGAGGGTAATAAAAACTTACCAAAAGATTGAGGGCTAGTGATAAAGTCCAAATGCATTTGATTAATGTTGGCTCCGATAAACACGTCGCGGTTTATCTCGCGATTGAGTTGCTTAATCATCTGAAGTAGTTGAGGGTTGTACAAGGCGGAGGCGCGCTGCAGTTCCTTTGCGCATTCGCCGATGCGGCTGTGCTGTGCTAGTTCTGCGGGCACACACCCTAGCGGTCCCGTCCCTGTAACTAGAACCCTCCGAGCTCCCAAATCATATAGTCTCTACATGCATCATCCAATATTTATATATTTTAATTAATTACAACAACTATTTGATTTTTAGCTTCAAGATCACTTCCCACCCCCACAAAATCATTTCACTTTTATTTACTTTTTAAATATCCATTGTGTTAGAGTTTACTATCCCACATCAGAAAAGTGAAAATAAAAGAAATAATTGGTATGTAAGCTCTTGAGTTGAACTAAGTAATCGATTTTGATTCAATCTTTTAATATGGTTCAGGCCAAGTGACTTATGGCCCAGCTCAATAACCCCTACCCCATTCAAAATTCCATCACATGGGGTTTGTTCATTTTGACATTATTTGATTTGGGGGCATCTTTAGAGCTTCGTTGAGTCTAAAAATAATTCCTACCCGTAATTCTTATCCGGGTTAAAGGGTAGGAATCATTTTCGGGTCTAAAACACACCATAGGTAGGTGTTTGATGTCAAATTTAAGTGCTATTTA